AAGTTAATTCTAAAATAAAAATTTTTAATTTGGTAAAATCATTAATATATTTTGTTGATTAAATTTATATAGTAGCATTATTTATATTATAGCGATATTTTACTGTAATTCAGTTGTAATTTTTATAAAATTAAACGCATATGTAGAAAGTATTCAATGTATGCTTTCAAAATTTTTGAAATTATTTAAACGTAGAATAATTGTGTTAATAAAAATATTTAAACAGTACTTTTTATTTAAAAATGGACTAATATTTCATATTAAATTCTTCCATTTCTTATAAGACAGAATTATCATCGGGTTTCGATTACACGTGAATGTCCACAGTAGAAGTGATTAAAGATTGTAGCTATTATGTTCGCGTTTGTCATAAAATCCTTATGAAACGTTAGAATAATTTGAGAAAGAGAGAGAGAGAGAGAGACAGAGACAAAAAGAGAGAGAGAGAGAGAGAGAGAGAGAGAGAGAGAGAAACAGAGAAAGAGAAAAACAGAGGAGGGAATAAATGTTGACATCCCCGACTTATCTCGCTATCTTTGGTGAGATAAACCGATCAGAATGGACCGAGTTGAGGATTATATGAGATAATGGGAAGGACGCGGGGTTTAGAGCCACGATCCTAATAGTAAGGATGCAATTCAGAGAAGATCTTCCGGGAGAACGCGGGAGATCTTCGATTCTGATGAAACCGCCGACTCACTACCGCCGCCCTCTCTTCCTAGCTAATGGAAAAAGTTTGTCGCCCGGTCCAACGCTTTTCCAATCATAAAGTTTGAAAAATGGTCACGTCTTGTTATCCGTAGATTTTTTTACTATACAGAAAATGACGATAATGACAAAAGGTCTCCTTAGAAAATTTTGTAAAGTTCTCGCCGGACATTTCAAGTTGTTTTTTATTTTATGATGAACTGATATTATTATAACGCATTATATGCATTTTATTAGGAAATTTATTTTGCATTTATTTTGTAAATTTATTTTGGATTTAAATACTCTCGTTATTTATATTTCGTTTAAACATTTTCATCAGATCCTCATTTAATCACTCAAATAGGACGATATTATATATTATAAAACTCGAAAACTCTCTGAGTTGTTGAAGATTAAATTATATTATGTAATAAGACGCAAATTTTTTATCCTGATTTTAATCGGTTTTAATCAAATAATATTTTTTAATAAATTAAAAATTAATTACATCAAATACAAATAAAGTGACAAAAATAATAACTGAACAACGTAAACTTATTTTCTCAAAGCCAAAATGTACCGCACATCATGGCTAAACAATAAGTAAGATATAATGCGCTTCTCTCCCTAAAGTTTCTGATCCGCAATGTCACAGCGAGCTTTACGAGATTTCACCGACGCATTTTGTAGATAAGCTATTTCGAAGAAGAGTACAATCTGTGGTGTTATAATTTATGCACTTATAATTTATGCGCAAGTTACGACGCAAATGGCTGATGGCGCAATATGTCTCCCTGGTTGTCCGACGATTAAAAATAACCTGCATCGTGCAATCATTCGTGCAATAAACGCTTTTCCCTTTCGACACGATCTGATGATTGAATTAATACAATTAATGGTACGTTTAGTGTATGCATCGATGTATGCATCATCAATTACTTTTATGCGAAATCAGCGGGATATTATAACACTTCCGCATCCATGAATTCCCGAAATTCCGCACGTGCGTAATGTCGGCGAATTAAACTGCAATTCTAACTTGTAATCTTAAAATTCTACCAACTAAATTGAAAACAATTAAATCGACAATAAATTATAAAAAATGAAATTTATAAATATCTTTAAAACGTTTTATCCTTTATTTCGTATTTTGCAAACAACTAGTTTTTAAAAAGCATCTCAATAATAAATCTGAATAAAGAAATGGTAATTTGAAATTTATAATTAAAAAAAAAATACATAATATGTTTAATAAAGCGATATGCTTTTATTCAATTGCAAATAAAACATAAAAGAAATCCAGAAGAACGGAAAGAAATATATGTAACTTTTTATTCATCTGTTCGCTCATCTAGATATACATTTAGGAGGAATCTGAGAGGACGCATTTCAGATGAATGTGCGCGAATATTTTAGAAAGTAGGACGTGTCCCTCAGGAAAATGAAGCAACTCCTTGCAACTGTGAGCTGTAAAGCTTTAATTTATGTATATAAATCCGACTCTGATGATCGTACACTCACCTACGTTATCGAGCGTGTACGGAATCCATGCGCGAGGAATGCTGAAGGCCGGGATGTATACGGGAACACACGGTGACAGAGAGCGCACGTCGCCTACTGAACTCTCGCTCTGTTCTCATCCATTAAATCACAGAAAACGTTGCACCAGCGCGCGCAACTCTATCAAACACGCTGCCGCAAATTCGATCTCCCGTAGGATTGGATCCCTTGGAAGTACTGTTGTCCTCCGAGTTTACGTCCAAATAGAAGATCGCAAAATGGAAGATCGAAACGGGTGAGTTCCCTGCAATCAATAACGATCTAATAGCTTCGTAGCTGTTAGTGCAAGTTGTTAATTGAAGTCTTCCGATTTTCTTCGCGATTATGTATACTCTGTATCGAGAAATTGACTTCTGCATAATGATCTATAATATTCAATTCCATAATTTCAAAAATAGTTTCGCTGAATAGTTTGCAAATAACATTTCTTTGGAATTTTCCGTAAAATACTTTAAATAATAAAAATAAGGAATCACACACACATTATCATATATTACGTTAAACTTAATGTAGTCTTAATTATAATAATGTTGTCTAAACTTATAATTATCGAGAGCAATTATTATATATATTTAATAAATTTAAAATTGCTATCGTATTAAACATCAAAAATATAACTCTGAAAAACTGTAAAACAATAAATATTTTTTCTAATTTATATATTTTTTGAAGACAATGAAGGCAGATATATTAATTTAAGTTTTAATTTCCTAGGCAAAGTTCAATAAAAGCGCTGCTATTTCAATTGAACGAATAGGAACTTTTTTACTGCGCTTTCATATCTCTCTTCTCAACAATTGTGACAGAGCTCTTGCCTCGCGTCGATTGAAAAGCAAGTCTGTGATCGATTTAATACGCACGAAACGGATTTCGTTGATAACATGATTTATATTTTGCATTATTTAAATTTTACAATAAATGTTTATTGTGTATCTTCAAAATAAAAGATCACAAAATTGATCACAAAAAATTATCTGATCAAAACTGATAGCCATTTTGGTTTACAACCAAGTATTAAACTGAACAAATTACGTTCACTATTAATGCAATATTAAATCTTAACAACATTAAGTTATTACATCAATAAATTATAATATAACCGATTATTATACGAAATTTTTTGTTTTTATTTTTTATTTAATTATTTCTCAACCTACACGTATTAAATGCATTTGATATTCGCGCATTATTTTGCATATCATGATAAATTTTCTCATAAGGAGATGGTTACGATTTAATTATCGCCGCCAGACTTTAATTAAATTGATACCATCTTCGAACCGTAAAACAGTTGGACATGTTCTAATTGCGAATTCCCGATGACTTGTTTACAAGCAACGGGGGATACACATCACGTCGTATATCCAAATCGTTTTAATTAGAAAAGGCACGAATTTTTATTCGTTTTTGTGCAAAGACAGGATGTCTGAGATAGCGATTAAATGAAAAAATTGATTAAATGACTTTTTATTGGAAAAAGTTTTAAAACACCTTAAGATTATCTTTTTTTTTTTTCTAATTGAAACTAATTTCTCTATTCCTTTGTGAAAACTGTAGTAGATAAAAGATGTAAGTTCAATTGCACATTTCTGCGTTTAATCAATCATTAATTATCATGATATTTAATTTATCAATAAAAAAAGAATCTTTTCGTTTCACGCAAAAAATCTCTGATTGAAAAATTTTGATCATAAAATAATATTCTTTACGAAGATAAAAAGACTATAAGTAAATTAAATACATTTTTAAGAAGTGTCATGTTCATAATTACAAAGAAAAAAAATTGAAGATAATTATTTCCATTTAAAAAATAAGTGTGTAAATTGTTAAAAATTCACGGAATTTAAAAGGTTAATTCAACGATATTTTCAACTGAGTCACTTTAACATACATAAATTTATGATGCAAAATAAGTCTAGTCTATTATAATTCGTAAATGATACATACTAATTACGAAAATATACGTAGAATAAATTAATGGAAAATATGTCATACACAGCTTCGTGCATAACGTTTCCTTAAAGAGGATATTTTTATATGTATAGTATTTGTGTAGCGTAAATAAAATTTACAGATTCTTTCTCTCTTTTTTCCTTACATAAAGTAATTAATCAACTTTTTTTTACGATTTTTCTAGTTATGCGAAACACGCACGTACATAACTTTCAGTGATAATCGATGTGATGTCTTTCAAGATTAAATAAAAAATAGAAAAGAGAATGGTAAAAAATACGTTGATATGTATGTAGTATTTATCAATTTATTTTAACACGTTGATAAAATATATTGAATATTTATATACAGATACATATACACAAATTATCCCAGAGGTTTTGATCTTAATTTTAACGAAATTCAGTTAAACTAGGGATCAATCTTTTTTTCGAAAACATTTTTTTCTTTCTTAACTTTTCAACGATCATCTCTTGCCACAACGTTCTAATATTCGACAGAATAACTTTTAATAATTAACTGACTTTCGGCAATTAATTGACTTTACTTTTGCAAAGTCCAATACGAATACTTGGACATCAGGTTTTATTAATCAATCACAGCACATAAATGTATAATTTGATTCACGAGAAGATCCTTATTTCAAACTGTTATGCATAGACTGAAAATGTTTGATGCCTTCGTAACGGAAACTTGGTTGAAAATCATATCGTCAATGAATCCGTCGTGAAGATCGGGATCTTGGAAATATCTCGCGCATGAATACATCACTCTTTTTTGACGTCGCATTAATACCTATGGTGGATAGTCGTAATGGTAACTTTGCATAAGTTTGAATATCTCTTGGTTACCAGTCACTCGGAGAAAGATTTGTACTCTAGTAATACAAGAATGTACATTCGCCGCTCGTCCGTCGAGCATCAATCAAATCATATGATGTAGCACACGATTCGGATCGTAATGTCTTTATCTTCTAATTTCTTCATCGTAGCGCCATAATTACAACAGCTTCGATCACTGCTTTTCTGCACGGAGAATGGTTATACATATATAAGCGCGACATTATGAAATATTACAACGCGCGGCGTGCTTAATGACGAGCTACATCGACTATGGCATGTCCACGTTATTAGGTAATTAATGGAATGAATATAATGCTCACTCGACAGCATTAGCAGTAGTAGCGTAGTTGCTAAATCACACTTTTTGTACTCCTTTTCCGTTTCCGTTGAAATAATACCACGATTATGGTCATTTAACGTTGGACAAGTAGAGTTAGCTCTAATCGCGAATCTTATCTTAACATGAAATAATTGATGTACCAATTGAATTCATTTTGTTGCAAAGACGTTGTTGCACTTCTTTTTCTTAAAATATATCAAGGTATTAAACTGTAAATAATTTAAAAGAGCTATATACAAGCAAATAAGAAGTAGACAATTTATTAATGACAAAATTTAGAACCGCTTTGGCAAATAAGTTTCTTTAAAAATTTATTATTTAAATCCGGAGCGAATTAAATAAAATAATTTAAAAATGAATAATTAAAATAAACTTTTATAGCACGCGATTTCTCGACCGATATTATTATCCACGTGTAAAAAACATTTAGAAAAATGTATGTTTCTTAAAACTCTTATTGCCGTTTATATTGTAATTATCGCGCGTATTTGGCCAATAAACATAGATATGTGATCGATAGTTGTAATTGTTGAAGAAGGCACATTGTCAGACTCATTTAAAACAATCCATGGCAATTTGGTCCTTGTATTTTTCTACAGGCAACAAGAGAAGGCCTCGCATATATGAAAATATTTAAAATAAAAGAAAGTTTCGCGCATAATATTCAATAATTATATATATATATATATCTAACGATTATTGCTGTGAAGACTAGTGGCAGCATCTATTCTTCAGCATCCTCGGCATCTAAGATACTCTTGAAGTAAAATGGTTGGAAGGGGTATCCTAAGCCTTCGTAGAATTTACTCATAAACTCGACCCTAAAGAATAAAAAATACTAAGCAAATAATAGAAAACAATAGGATATGATGATAAAATGCCTTAATTCTTTGCATTTTATCCAGTGGTCAATAATAGATTGACAGAAAAAATATTGATAAAAACATTTGAAATTAATACAAAAATATAGACTTGGTTTATTTGTCGAAGTTAAAACGTGAGATCAGTTGAAAATAATTTTATTGAATAAAAACAGTTAGATTAATCTGTATTTCTTCTATTTAAAAAATATTCCTTGAGTCTCATTTTAAAAAGTTTCGAATTTCTCTAACTTCACTTGAAACAAAACTTTATCGAAAAAACACAGGAGCAGCCTAATATGTTGTACGTACCAATGAAGTCGAAGCGTATGAAGGAATGCCGAGAGGCCTTCCATTAAGACGAGAATGACGACGGTGAAGAAGGCCCAGATAGCGAACACGAAGAACAGAATAATACTATTAACGTACTGATCCTCTTCGGCGGCTAAGCCTATCCGCAAAACTCTATTCCAGAGCACTTCTGACAGCTGCGAATGAGCCAAAGACAGGGCCCATAATCGTAGATAAGAGGCAGTGTGTGAAACTGTAGACAACACATATTCTATCGTGTGGATGGCTTGATGGATCATCAGTTCACCAAAGCTGTCGTCCTCGTGACTGTGATCTTCCGCTGCAGTATCCTTGCTGGTGCCTGCGCCAGGCAATTCTTGGGCCTGTAACTCGATGTCCTGAGACGCACTCCCGTTGCTCTGAACAAATAATAACGCACGTGTTACATCAGCGCTAATTCCATTCGTAATCGCGATTGAATACAGAGCACTAGTTCTCCTTTATTTCGTCTAATAATCCATCATTTTCAGACATTTATTATTATTATTATAGCTATGTTGTTTACTAAGTTTACATCAGCGATTACATCTACGACGCTCATCGAACTTGCTAAAATTACTAACTTTATATATACAAGACATGCTTACAACGTGACATAAAAATCGAAGAGTCGCATTTTTATTGTTATAAATTATGGATACTATAAAATAAATCATTATTGTTAAAAATTTTATAAATAAGTGG